AAATTATTGCTGCGGTCTCCGGTCAGTTGACGCGTTGACGGTTGCGGAAAAAAAAACCCAAAACCCACACAAAAGTAAGGTTAAGAATTGTAGGCGTTTTCAATTTTCCTTGGCAATTTTCCTTCTAAAAAGGCTATATTCCGACGTTGCCAAAGTGTTATTTTATATTCACCTCAAGTAAATTCACCCACGACTCAAGAATACAAAACGAGTGAGGCAGGTGAAAATTAGGTGGTGAAATTTTTCACCGGGTGAATAATTTCACCACTTTCAAGAATTGGCCCCCAGCGAGTCTATAGGATGGTACACTCTGATTGAATAGGGGAAAGTGTTCCACATTGAAATATTCGAAATCGTTTTTCGAACTTCCCGCCTATTCAGTTTAATAGTATATTACATACCGAGTAGGGAAGCGTCGACACAGGTAATGTGTCACTTCCAAATTTTTAAAAAGTCAGTAATGACAAGATTACATATATGATTGCAAATAATAGTATATTACAATCCGAGACGGGAAATGCTTCATTACTGGTCGAGAGGTTTTATAGTTTATCGAGACGCGTAGCGTCGAGTTAAACTGAACCTCGAGACAGCAATGAAGTTTCCCGTCGAGGGTTGTATACTATTTTATTTTTAACCATAATTTCTTGAAAAAAAAAAAATTCTGGGCAACCAAATGAGGTCGGCAAATGAAGAGGAAAATGAGAACGGGAAATATTTCCCTGCTCCATTTTCCATCCGTGGAAGGGAAATGAGGACGGAAAAAATTTCCCGTCCTCACTTCCCGTCCTGGGACAGGTAATGGAGCAGGAAAATGAAAAGACTGAAATGTGACATTTTCAAATTTTTGAAAAGTCAGTAATGACAACATTTCATATATGGTTAAAAATAAAAAATATTATCGTCGATCATAACTACTTCTGCATGTGCTCCTACAATTTTTACGAAATTTAGCAAATTTTAAACTTATTTAGTGACTACCGTAGCTCAAATTGGGGTAATTTTTTTTATAGTCGATATTTCAATTGATGATTAAATAAAATTCGGTGGTTTATTGATAAATTTGAATTCCCGGAATTGTTGAGGCATGTCTAGGTTCGGATTCTGTATAAACTGAGGATGTGCAATACAATCGATAGATTTTTGCCAACTTCGTAAAAAAATATCGAAGTTCCGCAATGTGACACCTGGTTTTGTTCCCGTAACAGAAGATATAGGTAAGTATGGTATGGTCGTGGAAAAAAACATCATGCTTATTTTTTCCAAATATTTAACGACTGGAAAAACTGAGAGGCAACAGTCTCTAAAACGTTTTGAAGTAAATTCGACCTCATTAAATATGCGTTCATATTTTGAAGGGTTCTATTATACAGGGTGTCACAGCCGAGAGTGACCCATTTTAAATGCTTAAAACTTTTAAACCAGGTGTGCTAGCTACCTGCGGTTTGCGCCATTCGATTTCTCTTGGGCTAAAGTTTTTTTAGTAGGTTTCAAATTTCTTTAAAACTTATACAGGGTGAATAAAAAAAATCTGTTATTCGACATCGGAATTCTACACTATTTTTAATGGATCACCCTGTATATCACAACGTCAAAGAAAAGATACATGTTTGAGGTATTCATATATCAATAGACCTATCTCGTATGATTAGAAAAAGAGAGCTTAATTGTAATAAATACAAGTTAGAAAGCAATAAAAGATGACATGCGCGCCCAACTCGTAGGCTGCAGTGTAGCCAGATTGTATTGTTGCAGAACAAATGTAGACAATACAAATCGAACATTATAACATTAAAGAAGTGATATAGTGTCAAGTGTTTTACAATGCCTTAAATCAGACAAAAGAAGAGCTTTAAAGTGGATGAACATCGTTTGCACTTTTATTTTGATAAATGTTTCATCCGGCAACATCGCTCAATAAAATTGCAAAGGACTATGTCAAGTATAATCTAACATAACCTTAAACGAAAATGCGGTGAGTTCAAGTAATATGTAAAGTATTAGTTTGCTCTTTGTCAAATTACACGTTACAAAGAAAGAAGGAACGATTCATTCTGAACTGGCCCCTGAATAAGAATATGACGCAAGCCTGTCACAAACTTGCTTCTCATTGGACGCTCACCTGCAGCCTACAAGCGACGCGCGCAGCCCAGATAATAGGAGATCGGTCTATTGACATCATCCCTAAAACTTGAAGTTTAAGCCGTAAAAAATCAAAATCGAAATGTTGTTATTTGTACAAACGCATGCAACTTCATGTTGTAGGAACTTGATATCACTATGGCAAACAATTTTGTAACTTTCTTGTTAGATATCAATAAGGTTAAAATACATTTTCAAAGAAAATTTAACGAGTTCCAGAGAATTTTCTTTGGAACTCGTTAAATAGAGAAACCCCAACAGTAAACAGTTTAGTGTGCAATCTCTATTAAGAAAAAATATAGACCATTTTCATTAATGAACCAACGATAACAGGAACTGTATACACTAATATGTTCTTTTTTCCACAGTTAGGACAGAAGGGTATCTTGAATGATATCTTTTTTCAGCAGAATGGTGCCCCCACCTCATTATTCTTTAATAGCAAGGGAATCACTGGATATAACATTTGGAGAAAGACGGATAAGGAGAGCTGGTCCTATAGGATGTACACCTTTCTCTCCTGACTTGAGAGTTCCAGACTCTTTTCTCTGCGGTTATGTCAAGGAAAGATGCTGTAATCCTTTGCTCAAATAGCCTGGAAGATCTTAAGCGGAAGATTTGTAAGTGTAATGTCATTGTAGCCATTCCCAAGGAAATGTTACACAATTAATTCAACCATTCACTGATCCATAAATGCCTGGAACAGAAAGGCTAACGTATACAGCATTTTGTATGGTTTTATGCAATTTTTATCAACCTTTTATTAGGCAAACATAAGTTCTAAGCTTTGTAAATATGCGTTTGCAAAAATTCCAAGATTTCGATTTTGATTATTTACGGCTAAAACTTCAAGTTTTAGGGACGATGTCTATTCATACATGAATACCTTGAACATGAATCTTTTTTTGACGTTGTGATATACAGGGTGTTCCATTAAACATAGTGGAGAATTTCGATGCTGAAAAACGTTTTTTTTTATTCGCCCTGTTTGGGTTACAAACAAAATTTGCAACCTACTAGAAAAAACTGTAGGCCAAGAGAAATCGAATGACGCAAACCGCAGGTAGCTAGCACACCTAGTTTAAAAGTTATAAGCATTTAAAATGGGTCACTCTCGGCTGGGACACTCTGTATTTTTCATTTGTCGGATTAATATTTTCAGTTGCTCTTCTGTTTCTTTACAAGAATGGTTATTTTTTCTTATTAATGTTTTTTTCGATATTTTCTGTAGTGTTTTTTGGTGTAAAAGGACTGTCACTGTGGAACATACAATGGGACAAAAATCGGGTTTGAAAGAAATTGCCCTATTTATTTTTTAAATCGATATAATAATAATCTTATCGCGTTAAACTACGATAAATATGTCAACATGCATGCATGCAACATCTAAATGACAAAATTCAGTCATAACTTCTGGCTATTTACCGAAACGCAATTTTTGTCTCATTGTGGAACACTTTCTCCTACCCAGATGAAAATAGGAATAACGAAGACAAGATTGATCAATCCGCAGACAGACTACGTGGATTAGTATGGCGGCGACGGACGCCCGCCAAGAATCACGTCAGTAACTAGACATTTCAGAAGAATTTTGTAGACCTAAAACCTAGGAAGGCACCAGGGGTGCGATTTTCGAAACCATTCGAGTACATTTCGTACACGAAATTTGACTGACAGCAATGTAAATTGAATGGGGGGCATTCGAAATCGTATCAAATTTCGTATACGAAAATATTCGAAAATAGGACCCCAGGCCGCGAAGCATTTTCCAAGAAGATGATGAAGGAAATGCCTAGGAAGAAGAACTGGAATTTGTCGGTGCTAAACAATTTGGCTCCAGAGCTGGTCACTATACTGAGCACTTTAGAATAGTAGAACACATCACCAACTAATCCAGTTGAAATTGAAGAAGCGCCACTGTGGCGCCTATTTGTTGCATGTAGAACGAACCTTCGATTGCGTATGACGAGAGGCTAATGCGTAACATGATTGAAGCCGTATACCAAGCAAAGACTTACAGGCTGATCCAAAGCCACCTTGATAGCCGAAACCATTTGAATAAGACGACGCTCGATGTCGATAAGGCTAGTAGCAAAGGAACTCCAAAGGTTTGTTCACGGTTCTGATTCCACTCTTCCGCATCAGTGGCAAAATATGTGTATTTCTATGTAGATTCCTCAAGCATTTCGATACTCTATGAAACCTCCAAGGAGAACCTACAGGAGACTACACTCTGACCGAAGATTCAGATGGAACGTTCCACTAGGGAAAGACGCCACCTAAACAGGACAGTCATTCTCCACAAGCAGAGGACCTTTTTTTTTATAGCTTGCAGAGGGATTTCTTAATCCCTGTTTTCCTATGTTTTTCTTTTTAACTGACCAACCTATATTTGTATGTAAAAGTATAAGATCATGCGAGAACTGCGAGGCACTGAATCTATCGGCGACATTGTATCGTTGTAGGTATGCTCCTTTTTTTTCCCTTTTTTTTTTTTTTTTTCTCTAGTCCTTCAGGAACCAGAAAAAAATGTAGAACCCTATAGTCTTATTGTAGAAAAACCTATTAATCTTCCTAAATCTACTACTAAAGATAACAATACCTATACGCGTTTTTTATGAAGAACTCGAAAAATTAAATCCTCTCAGAACAACATTATGAAATCCCCTAAAAACCCAAACCCTTTCTTAACTCAACCCTAATTCATCTATTCAAAACTATGTTCAATGGAATTTGCTCCTCTTTGCCTGACAAAAAACAAACAATTTTTTTTCTCTATATTCTCGATTTCGGCCTAGTTGGCATTATAGCGTCGCGACGGCGCCACCGTCCACGCGGCTCGCTTCCAAAACAGTTTTGGAACGAGAAAAGGTGTTCCGTTTTGTGGAATCAGTTCAGTCAGTGCGATGCGAACAGTCGCTTAGTGCTGACGACGTTTCGGCCTCATACACCTCATCATACGGGTGATTGCTGTCGCGCTCTTACTTTAACTGAGACATGAATTATTATGCTGACGCTTTAGTGTCAATTGGTTCATAGTTTGCTGAAGGTGGATTTTCAGTTTTTGTTTGGTTTGGGATTAACATTGTTTTGCTGGATGAGGATTGTTTTGTATGGTTGGGTTGAGGGTGCTTTGGACTCGCTAATGGTGAGTTCTCAGTACATATCCAGTTTTTGATATTGCAAGATATTAATAATGTTTGTTTTTTATTTTAACATTGTGTTATGGATTTTTTATCAAAGTGAGAAAAAAAAACATATAAGTAGGTAACATTCCAACAATTGCATGCTGATGATAATATGGAAAATTTCAATATCTAATCTTTAGCCTTTCTTTATCAAAATTATGGAAAGTATAGAAAAAAAGCTTCCAAAATCTGTCGGAACATGCGGATCTTTCAAAAAATACAAATTTTCAAGTATGGTTTCTCAAATTTCTATAAAATTTTCCAAGTTGATTGCCTTTCCAGACTTATATTTACTCTATCGTTCAAAAAAAAATAAAACTGAAATTGCAAAAACTATTTTTGTTTAATTCTCTTTGGAGATTCAGCTTCCTAACCGAATTGTAACAGAACTGACCTCGTTCTATGACTATACATTTTCCTTAGGCTTTCCATTTATTTTGAAATTTTTTTAGTATCGTTTAGAAAAGTAGTTCTGCATATTTTTTTTTTGTAGGTCATTGGTGGTCCTTAGAGTGCCACCCATTTTGTCAAATAAGTTCAATTTTCTTTCTTCTAAGGCCAGTTCCCATTTGTTTGACTGACCATTCTACAGTACCCTATTGGCTCAATTTTTAAATATTGTAATGCATTTAAATATATGCATTTTTTATCAGGCAAACACCTGAACAAATATAAATTTCCAACCTTAGAACTCGAATAACCAGCTGTTTAAATATGAATAAATATTTTGCAATCACAATAAATTTTTACTCAATACTAACTAATTCAGTAAGATATGTAAGCCCAGATTTTACGTATATTTGCATAATAGTCAAAATTCCAATAATTTGGAAATTTATTGTCACGAACCTCATGGTCAGTTACACAAGTTAATAGTTGCTTTAGGCAAAATTTATTTTAAATGAAATAACACAAGCTCAACAAAAAAACTAATTTCTGAATAAAAAATCTTCCATGTAGTTTTTGATGAAGAGTACAATTATTAACTTTTTAATTCTAAATCGATGAATGTGAAAAATGGTAAAACAATTCGAACTTTTCAAAAAAAAAAGGAATTTTTTTGATAATTGGCATTCGGACAAATTTTGTATAATTTAAATTAATCATTTTATATACGCCCTGTGTCCGTCCCAGTGCTTAAATATTTTAATTAGTTGTGTTAATGCTTAACGTATGCTGAAAATAACATAAGCAATTATGTCTTGAAGTTGCAAGGTAATACTCGTTACACTGAACGTCTGGAAAAGGGCGTAACTTATTAGATTTTTGAAATTTATTGTGGTAAAATTTACATATAAAAAGGAAAATATATAGTTATCGTACACGTAATCTTTGCTTTCATACATACAGGAAATTAGTTGCATTTTTCAAATTTTGAACTGTGCACTAATTTTATTACAAAAAAAAAAAAAACAAGTACATCCATTAGCGATTCTCGACCCGACAAGTTCCTTAATTATTCTCAAGGTGGTAACAGACGTATACGGTGATAGAAGATGTAGGAAAAACGAGCTACAAAGTTCACATTCGTACATTGCTTCGAATTAATTTGTACAAGTTCTCCGGTGTCCTTTCATTAACGGTATTTACGTCAATCGGTCACTTGAGATCATCAATAAAATGGTTCGGTGTCTTTGTAATTATTTCCTATTAGCTTAAATGTTTTTGTAGTTTCTACTGAATTAATATACTCTTCTTCATTTAGCACGGATTTGGAATTCAGATTTTCTTAAACCTACTTGGTGTTCTGACATGTTTGGAAAATATGTGTAAAAGAACGAAGAACCAAAAATATACTAAGAATGAGGAAAATTAGGTCATATGTCCTGCAATGGTAGCGGGATCGGAATAAAATATGTGCGAATTCAAATTGCCATTTCAGCTTCAATTTCTTCATTAATCCCAGAAAAAAATACGAATATTTTCCGCTGATAACATCCCTTGTATTCCTAATGAGTGTTTGTTCGTTTTCTCCTTTGTGATCCAACTTAAGATATAGGCCTCTTCTAATATAAACCAACGATCGCTGCTTACTGCTTGTTTGCAGCTTACTCCATTTTATCCTCTGAAAATCATCACAGACTCATCCGAGGCCGTTCCCTTTTTCGATGTCTTAATCATGGAAAACAATACCATATAACTATTCCATTCCTTCTTTCGTCCTGGTCACATTTCCAACCTTCTTGTGACATATTTCCCAGGATCCAGAACTTTCGTACCGCTTCTGATCCATTGGTTTTTCGATCAATCACTCTTATTCCTAGTTATAATTTAGTAACTCCAAGGTTATGTTTTGTTATTATATTGTTTTTTTTTTTTTAATTCATCTTTAGTCTTTTCTCCTCTCTCAACCCAATTCAACGATTCTTTGAGAATTTCAATAATTTCATTGATATCGCTTCTCCTTGTCGAACGTCTCTTTCCATGGGTACGACATCAGATTTTTGTTGAAAGTGTATTGCCTTTGGGGCTTTTTTGTATATGTATGTTGGTACGTAGCGTTTATTCTATTCGACAATTCGACTTAAATTTACTTTTGGATTCATGCGTAGGCGTTTTCCGTTTTCGCATACTGGAAATCATGGATTCAAATCATAAGGATTTTACGATGCCAGGATAGTCTTGTGGCGCCTTTGCCATACAGTACAGAATCTAACGTGAAATCTAGAAAATACTGCTTTATTCGGGCAAAGATATTATCGCGTTTATTCTGGATTTTACAAGAATGGATTACAGATATATAAAGGCCGGTATTAGATAAAGGTTTTTAAGTTTTAGTTTGAGATTGACTGTGGTCTGATTTAGATTCTAAAGATTTTTGTCGTTTGATGGTGGAATAAATTATTGTTGTGTTAATTGGACTTTGATTTAAAATAAACGGACCCAAGATTTCTGTCACGCACCACAGAGCCGTGGCAGTATCTTTTAGTCTTCGTTTTCCATCATTTTTCATGTACTATGCGGTCAAGAAATTTTCTTTCGCTTGATGTGTTTGGATATATAGTTCTCGATTGTCTAGTTCCATTTACATCCTCATTTAATTTATGGTGGACCCACAACATCTTTAGCATTGGTCTTGGCACTCATAATATTTCAAGAGCTTCAGTTCACTCGATTGTTCCTGCTTTGAGGATTTATGCTTTTACACATTCACATAGGAGAACCGACCAGACATAACACTTAGCAATTCTGCATCTGAGCTTCAAGTTGTGATCTTGGTTGGCCAAGGGTTAATTGAGCTTTAGGAGAGGTGTTCTAAGAGGCAAGAGCTCACTCTATTCTACTTGTGATTTCAATATCTAGTTTCCATTTGTTACTTGCAACACAGCTCAGTTATTTGAACAAGTTGGATTCCCTTTCCATCAGGTTGTACACCTTTCCCCATTAAAAATCCTTCTGTTGTTGTTGAGTTATGCGAGCATGCGTATTCTACCTGTTTGGTCCCAATACAAGTTGGCGAATACCTTTCGTTCATTTCCGAATTTGCAGGATTTGCTTCTAGAAGATCATGTCTAACATTACCAAAAGCCTCGTCATAGTGGATCACTGACCCAGGCATGTTTGCATAAACTGGCAATGACTTTCCTAGTTTTAAACCCTGGTTTGTTGTTGGTCAAGTGTGCAAGATTCATAGAAGAAGGAAAAAGCTCCAAAATGTATGACATTAAACCAATAAAACGATAGTTTATACGTTCACCTTTTTGCGTTGCTCTTGTCTTTGGTAAGGTTATAGATTAGCGAAGCCACTCTCTTGGAGTCTTAGATATTATTATCGAGAAGTTTTGCCAACACTTTTTTATTTCGTTGTCTTATCAAGTGGGCCTTATCCGACATTGTATATTCTGGTTATGGTAGCTTTATTGTTTCTTGATAACTTGATGACGAGGGGAATTTCGCTCTTCAATCTATTTTGCCAAGATGATAAGCTGTTTGCCGGAAACGGTGCATTCTGTGGTCTGCCAGAAGTTTTCCACGTTCCAATCATTTTTCAGGGTCCAGTATAACTTCTTCTTGTTCGTCCTTGATATGGCTTACCGATGCTTTCTTATTTCCATTAGCTTTTATCAATTTTTGTAATTCAATATATCAACTTCTGATGTATTGGTCTGCGAGTCACTTTTCCTACCCAACAATTTTCTCAATTTGTTCCAAATTTCTCTTTGACCATCAACGTCGTTTTGGAAACTATATTGTGTACGTCTTTACGTCAGTTCTAGTATGTTTCTGGTTGTCCATTCATGTCGTCTGCAGCCAGTGATATTCAAAAATTCAAAAGTTCCTGATTTCTTGTTTTTTTAAAAATCTAATTTCCTTGTCCCTGATAATAGTTGTTGTTAATTAGTTTTTTTACTCCTGTGTTGATGTCGGTAACTGTTTTGATTTTTGCCTCATTGTGTCTTATCTCAAATCACCTTCAAAATGTTTGTTTAATGGTGCTAACTTCCGAACACATATCAGATGTGCATTTACCCTGGGACATGGAACTCGTCTTCCATCCATTAACTTGGATCAATATACCACCATATTTTTTTTTTTGGTTGAGAAATTGTTTTATGTTCCTTTACAGTTTTCCTGGAATCCTCGGATCTACTTTCTAGATTTTTTTTTGAATTTTTGTTGAATAGGCACCTGAATGGGCAAGATCCAAATGGGCCATACTTTTGCTGTAAAAGGACGTTCGTGGACTAGTCAAGGTTAGATATTTTAGGGTCGCAAATAAGTAGTCTATGGTCGACTTGCACATTGTTAAATAATAGTTATTTGTGTACCAAGGCCGTAAAGTTGATCTTTTTTGGCCGAATCAGAAATTTGCGGCCAAGGCGCAGCCGAGGCCAAGCAAATTTCAGGTGAGGCCAAAAAAGATCATTCGGCCGAGGTGCACACAAAATTTTTTAGGCGAGTGTTTGTTCTTGAAAAACGAAGAAAATTCAACAGTAGCTTTAAACTTTATTGATCAAATAAACAATCCAGCAAAAGTTAGATACACAATTATTAATATCAAAAACTACGATAAAGTGATTATATAAATTTGCCGACTTTTTTGCCTGGTATCTTACATTGAGCTTCTTTAAAAAAGCAATCAATAGGCTCGTTCAGTGAGGTTTCATTATCGTTCAGTGAGGTTTCATTAACCACGTTTTTTGATATTTTTATAGAGTATTACTCACATATAGCACACAAAAAAAATTTCAGCGCAATTGGATAAATATTAAAAAAGTTATGCGGCTTTGAATAATAAAACATTATGCCTCAGAAATTCATCGCTTAGAGATGGTATGACGTCATCTCTCGAGTCAAGACGGGCTAAAGGCCGTCACACGACCAACGTGAGAGATGCAGTGACGTCACCACGTGTTTCAAAACTTCCAAATTTGGAGCTCTTTGATAATTTATTTGAATATGAACAAGGGCTCGGAAAATTATGAAATTTTGCACAACTGCTAAACTCAATACGCTCTTTTAGAACATGTAATAAAAAAAAAATGCTGTACGACCCTATTTTGAAAACTTGCTGATATGTTAGGTATTTCCGACTATAATTGTAAATTTTAACATAGAGTATAACATAGGTGGACCTGAAGATCATAACGCTGAGGATTATTTAATTTTGGCAAGAAAATACTTCTCCCAAATTTTTAATCATGCCGTTTTTTTTTTAGCATTTTATGTGGAAATTCGTAGCGGCCGTAAAGTAAAAGCGGACGTGAAGTAAAAGCGGCCGTAAAGTAATAAAGCAAATGCGGCCGTGAAGTAAATGCGGCCGTAAAGTGAATGCGGCCAAAAAAGGTATACTTTAGGGATGATATTGAATCCGTAAAACTAATCTTGTTGTGACAGTCGCCTAAAAAACTATTTTTTAGGCAACTGTCACAAAAAGATTAGTTTTACGGATTCAATAACATACCTAAAGTATATCTTTTTTGGCCGCATTCACTTTACGGCCGCATTTACTTCACGGCCGCATTTGCTTTATTACTTTACGGCCGCTTTTACTTTACGGCCGCTTATACTTTACGGCCGCTTTTACTTTACGGCCGCTTTTACTTTACGGCCGCTTTTACTTTACGGCCGCTTTTACTTGACGGCCGCTACTTTGGTAAAAATATATAAACAGATAATCGAAAACGCGGTGCCGTAACCATCAACACAACCAATAAACAATTAGTTAGCAACCACAATGGAACCAAATTTTTGATTTTAGCCCTATCCTATTACTTTTTTAAAAAAGCAGGCGAAAAAGTCGGCAATTTTCTATAATCGCACTTCCTTTATCGTAGTTTTTGTTACTAATAATTATGTATCTACCTATCTTTGCTGGATTATTTATCTAATCAATAAAAGTTTAAAGCTACTGTTGAATTTTCGTATTTTTTCAAGAACAAACACTCGCCTAAAAAATTTTGTGTGCACCTCGGCCGAATGATCTTTTTTGGCCTCACCTGAAATTTGCTTGGCCTCGGCTACGCCTCGGCCGCAAATTTCTGATTCGGCCAAAAAAGATCAACTTTACGGCCTTGATACACAAATTACTATTTTTGGCGCAGTCATAAAAGTCGTTGACAAGGAGCTAAATAAGCCAGATTCACAGGTATGATTTTGATCCAATGCCGAGCAGACGCCATCGGCAAACCCTTTAATCAAAATATATTATTGACTATGATATTTCTTTGAACCAATTCGATATTGATTTATTGACAAATGGACGTATCATTATGTCCCTATATAATTTTGTGTAAGTAGGTAGTTCAAACAATGGAAAATGCATGTGTATTTGAATTAATAAATGACTCTAATAGAGGCAAAATAGGGTTATTTTAGCAATATAGAAAAATGGGTCAGAAGTATCCATTTAAATAATAAAATTACGGTCCGATAGGTAGATATTTTTTATAATTTATCACTACCAATCATAAGCCCTGACTTTTCAGTGTCATTGTAACCATGAACACAATTATTATATCAGTCAGGAGTAGTCAGGACTTCCATCAGTGACCATAGGCGGAATTCTGTAACGGATAGAGATCATTATGACACTTGCTGTCTATTTCTCTCATTTCGTAATCAATAGAGAGGGGACGTCAATAGAGATAGCGAAAATATCTCCATTCGTTACAGAATCCTAGCCCATAATTAGGGAGAAATCCTTAAAAAATTGAATTTTCCTTGTAAAATTAAGCTTCTTTCATTTGCATATTTTAATCAATTCACATATGTTGTTTGCAAATATTTACTTTATGAGCAATCATTTTAATTATGATTAACCGTTTTATTATTATTTTAATAGCGCATAAGCTCCCTAACTAACTACCTGACAAATCTAAATAAAGGATTTATTTTAAAAGCGTTCATAAAATATAACCGTCATAAAATAAATAATTGACGGTTAGAATTTTCTATGGAACATAATTCTTGTTAATAAGCCGGCAGAGTTAGATTGTAGGAGTAAAAAAGGCCTTACCATAAAACGTGACAGTTTTGATATTCAAAGGCTCATAATAGTGCCTAATAATGGTTCATTGATGGGGGAATTTCACTTTATAACAACATAGCTATACGCTATACTACAAGAATTATATTATTAGGTTCTTTTTTACTGCAACGTGCATATTATTAAGTTGAAAACAAAGATGAGAGAAAAATATTGCACGATGAGGCTGAAAGATTTATTGAACGGTGGATTCTGGAGTAGACAATACGCATCTTAGATGTTAGGTTGGAAATCCACGAAAGCTGGAGGCTATGTGTCTTAATCTTCAGGAAAAGTTAATTGAAATAATATTGGAAATGCACAATGTAACTTTCCAGAAAAATACGGATTATGTTATAGAATTAGTGCCAAAAGCTTAAATTGAATCAACAGAATAATGAGATGATAATAATAATAATGAGAATTTCATACATCTGTCAAAACTGGTATTCCAACGATAAATTGACATGTTTTGATTGTTGATTTGAACCAATCAGATTGTAATTACGCGATAATTTGCACTAGTGCAAATTATCAGATAAATGCATACTAACTGGTGCGAAAACTGGTGTTTTGACATTTTTTGACAAAAAAATTAAATTTTTGATTTATGAAATTCTCTCATTAAATACAACTCGTGCAATGGAAATATATTTATAATTTTCGACAAATTTGCACTCATGCGTTTTTAACTGAAAATGCATTCGGGCAAATTTCCCAAAAATTATCAATAATTTCCATTGCACTAATTATATTACTATTGAGAATTTCATACATCTGTCAAAACTGGTATTCCAACAATAAATTGACATGTTTTGATTGTTGATTTGAACCAATCAGATTATAATTACGCGATAATTTGCACTAGTGCAAATTATCAGATAATTGCATACTAACTGGTGCCAAAACTGGTGTTTTGACATTTTTTGACAAAAAATTTTAATTTTTGATATATGAAATTCTCTTATTAAATACAACTCGTGCAATGAAAATTATTGATAATTTTTGGGAAATTTGCCCGAATGCATTTTTAGTTGAAAAAGAGCACGACTGCACGTAGTGCTGTGTTTCCCAAAAATTATCAATAATTT